ACCGTGATTTGCACGTCGATGCGGTCGGACCCCCTTTCGTTGTCTTAAGATTTTTAAGTGGGCTTTGAGCAGTTATTTATTACACTTTAATTTTGTGTTTGCTTGATGGTATGACAGTGCATGGTCTTTGCATGCTGCTAGCCGATACGTTTTTCTTTTTCGACAAACCAGAATATTTTATTGTGTAATTTTTACATTTATAATTTTACTATGGAAGATCTGGATTAAATTAAAATAAATATCCGGGTCCTAATGTAAATGGAGCACTTAGAAGTTTCATGTTCTGCACTTGAACTAGAGAGAGGAGCTTTTGTTTGCTTGTGAAATGTTAATTCTTGTTCTGACCTTCTGTGATAACTAAACTATGTGATCTGTGGCATACTTCTACGTGTCTGAAACAGAACCAAAGCAATAACGTTGTGATGCTGAAAGCTCTTCCGGGAGCTCTCAGATGTTCCAAGGCTTGTACAAAGCAAAGATGCACTGAAAATTAGTGATCTTGAAATGCGATTTTAAACCCACACCTATTTGTCTTAAGCTATGATATGGATAAAGTTGTGGCTCAAAAATCAAACCGAAAAGATCTTGTCCCGCTAGAGGCAGTTTTCCTTTTAAAAAAACAACAAAAAAAAAAAACCCAAGAAAAAAAAAAAGGCAAGTAGATTTGCAAGGCAGCTTTCTCCCATAGAGCTGTGTTAATGTTACAAGCAGACAATCTTCTTTTTTAATATAACAAAGGTAAATTATTAAGTCTACTCCTGAGTTTTTACATGCTAACTGAAAATAAAGTATTTGTATGAATTACGTTTGTTATTAGTATATCATGACACTTAAATATTTTAGGTTTTTGCCTTGTAAACCTTCTCCCCTCCCCTCCCCTCCCCGAGATTTCCAAAGGCAATAAGGGATGGAAAACCTTGAGGTTAATTGGATTCAGACTGAAATTGTTATTGTCATTTGCATTTTCCTCACTGCTACTCTGAGACTTACTTAAAAGACTGCTGTTCCCCACGTGTACGCCACCTGTTTCCCCTCAGTAATCACGCTTTTTCGTAAAGTCAGTTTAAAATAGCGTATAGGAAAGCCTTTGTGTTACAGCTCTTAGCCTTTCTTGCCGTGGCAAGGCCTCCATTTAGAGTATTTCTGTACAAAAGGATACTTTTGACCAGATGAATTAACTTTGTGGAATTTTATTATTATCTAGAATAAAATATATTGCAGATTGCTAGTTTTGGGAAGGGCGAGAACGTTTTATTTTTTCATGCTGTGCAGCGGGCCTTCCCCGCGATGCCAGTGACACTGGTGGTGACGATGTAGCAGCGCCCTGGCAGGCACTGGGTGCCCGAGCGGCGCTCACGCTGTCGCGCGCCCTGTAAGACGCGCAGAGCGGTCGCAGAGAGCGCGGGCCGCGTCCACCGCGGAGCCCCCGGCGCGCCGAAGGCAGGCACGGTGCCGGGGCATCCTCTCTGCAGCTCACGACGGCTCTTCCCGATCCGTGAAAAGACTT